ACAGAGGGAGCAAGGGCGAAGAACGAAAAGGGGGGGGGGGGGGAGGGAGGAAGGGACATTGGAGAAGAGAAAAAAGTGGGGGTTTGAGGGGGAGACACAAATCAAAAGCCAAACATTAGAATGTGGAATGATTCTAATGTTTTCTCCCACCCATCACCCCAAATCAAAAGGCTCAACTTATGAAATTCAACAACCACCAAACTACATTACAGCCATCACACAAAATGATATGTGTCTGAGATGGACCAACTGCGAATGGGGAAAAACCTTCTACACGACCACCTTTCCAACCGTAATGAAGCGGAGCTCTCTCTGCCTCAGATGCAGTGTAGGTTAAGAGCAGTTACAAAGCAGGAGCGGTCATGGAGAGGTCAGTCTAAAAATCCCAATTCAACCCAGCCCACCAGGAGCCCCGAGCAGATCCTCACCATCAGTAAGTAGCCGCTGGCCACCCGGATGACGCTGACATCAGAGAAGGATTTCAGGATGTCGTCCAGGGTTGTCGTGGTGAAGGAAAGCACCTTCTGGGTAGAGTTCTGGGCAACACTTTGATGAACCACCTGTGGCCACAACGTAAGGCTCAGCTCCCCAGTGGAATCAAAGCTACACCAAGTTTTGACAGCACAGGCCCAAGACACACTTCTCCCCACCTCTACTTTTTTATTTTGATGCATTAGGGAAAAAAAATTCTACACAATTCAGGTGGCGGGAGGGGATTAGCTACCATGAAACAGCCCTGGGTTTAGGACAACGAGGGCTAATCACAAAGAATGGGTACTTTGGCGTACAGATGTAATGAGTTCACTCTGAGACCTCATTTGCTCCAAGTCTCAGGCTGCTATGTTCCTGTCGATAATTCTACCACTGATTTGCAGTCCCATCAGTTCTCCCCAGTCCAAAACAGCTTATTCTTACAGGCACTCCACACCGACTGCTCCCCCCACACACCTCCCATTTGCTGGCCACTTTTCAAAGGTCACATGCAGCTCAGGAGAGGTCACTGCTTGGGAAACAAAGGCCAGCTCTTGTCACATGGCCTGACCAAGGGGCCTGCAGCTGTGAACAGATTCTATGCTTTGCTAATGCTTTCCAGACACCTTCTCTAAGGCTAAGCAAGTGTTTTTTTAAACACTCTTATGACTTAGCTCTGGGTTTCCCAATTGGTTACTAAACATGTTTTAGGGCATCCCAACTAGAATGAGCATCTTGTCAATATTATCCTCAGATTTGCAGTATCAAGGAAAAGAAAACCCATTTTCAAACCATCAAGATCTCAGAATGACGATTTTGAAAATACATCGAATGGGAAAAAGGTTTTCGATAATGGTGAAAAGGAAAGGTGGAGTAACTGGAGGGTCTGTACCCAGATTCGAAGGTGGGTTACCTCCACGTAGGTCCTCTGCCACGCCTCCAAGATGGCCGCTGCTTTGTCCTCGTTCCAGTTGATATGCGAGACATACTCGTACCCCTTGAAGTGCTCGTACATCTGCTTGGGAGTCATTAACTGGAACATGGTCTGCAGGGCGTGGGCACTGGGATGGGTTGAAGGGAGTGGGAAGGCGTATCAGTATCCCTAGCAAGCAGTTTTTACCACAGCAAGTCCCAAGGGGGGCCCCAACTCACTCGTGACAATTCCTTCCTTCTATGTGAGCACATGTTTCCACTCAAACAGGACCAGGACAGTTATTTTATTTAATAGATTGATGTACCATATTAAAGGTGTAACCTTACAAACCTTTAACAGATATCCCCCAAATTAAATTAATAGGCAATTTCCTTTCTCAGTTTCTGGTCCATGGAACAGGAAGGGTAGAAGAGTAGACAGCCTGACCAAATATATTCCAGGCTGGGTAGTACACACTTGCTGTGCAGAAAGCCCAGACAACCATGTTTCTGGGGGAGAGCTCTCGGATGAAATGCCTAGCACTTGCGTGACCAGAGACTCAAATACACAAAGGTTAACTCTCATTTAGCCTTTGGGCTCTCGGTCTTTTTCAGTGGGTGACGTTGTTTTCGCTCACATCATTTCAATGCCATCCACTGTGACCAGTGTCCCTGGTCTACTGTACAGAGAAGAGGCAGATCTTCTAAAATCCTGAAGTTAACCATTACAGTCTTGATGAAAACTACAAATCCATTCTTGGGAAATTCCTCACAAGGTGCTTTTTCAAGCCCACCTGGTCTGCTAATATTTCCTAATATTCGATTACACCAGACGGCTAGCTAGGATAACAGTTAAGTAGTAATACAAATACACTTGCAGATGTCAGAAGGGAAGTGGTTTTTGAGGAAAAGAGGCAAAATAGACGGCTTGAATTTTACTCTGTGTGCTGAATTACCTGACAAGTTTTCCAGTGCTGTTCTTCACTGTGCCACCCACAATCAGTTCCTCCTGCCAGTGCATATACTTTCTGGATAATCCATGACATCCACCATTCAGAACAAGGGCCATATCAAGAGGCTAAAATAAAAAGACAGCCACATAATTACGGGAATTAGTAGGCAGGTCACATGCCTTGTTAACATCCAGTACATTAAGGGCTTGTTTGTTTCAGAGAGAACATTAATATACAAGGCTAATGAGAGGCAAATGGCAAATCTTACAGCAAAATTTAGCTCAATAAACAAACTCAGCTCTATAGACAGAAAAGGTGGTGGAGAGTGAAATCTTCCAAATGAAAATAATCAAGAGAACCAGAAACCGAAACAAATAACTTTTCTCCAGGCCCCTTCCTTGAAGACTCAGTGAACATGCTCACTTTGGTTGAATTTTTGTTGGGGGCCGTGGCAGGGCAGTCTGGATCAGCCGGGTTGAGGCAGGGACGATCCATGTAACCATGACCAACTTCAGCCTTATTCAGCATTTCCTCCCAGCTGTCCACTTGATAGTTTATTTTCTTTAACTCTTCTAGGAATTCCAAAGGGTCAAAGTTTGTCCACCGCAAAGGAGGTTTACCTCTGCGAAAGAAATTAGGAAACGAGATCATGAAGAGAAGCTTCCAAACTCAGCAAAAAAACAAGCTTGCATATATTGCGTTTGTATTGCAGGGGGATTTTTGGTAACACTGCAATTCTAGGACCCTGGCGTGAAGGGGGGGGGAAGAAAAAAGCAAATGCTATTTTCCAGTATATTGAAAAAAAAAGGGGGGGTAAAAAAAGAAATGCTTGTTTCTAGTATATCTATATGCAAATTCAACTCAGAAAAATAACTCATGGCCAAAGATTGCAGGCACCAAAGTACCTTGAATTGCCCCTATTATTTAATATCTAAAAACATAATTAGCCAATAGAGGCTTCTAAGCACGAGACTGAGATCTCAAATTTAAAACAACAAAAAAAGGAAATCACAAGATCAAATTAGCACTTGCCAGCCCGATAAATGTTTTGCAAATGCCATCAATCAAAATATTTGATCTCTGTTACCTTTAACAATCCATGCTTATGAGCCCTCTCTGACAGCCTGACAATCGTGGGCAAGCCCCCTGCAGCCTCTGCCATCACCACCATCACTGCCACTTCCCCCACACTCACTTTTGAATTTGTGCTGTTGACAGACCAGAAAGGCTTTTGGCTGCCTGTTATGTGGTTCAAACCACACTGTAGCTGCTTAACCAGGCTGAAGTCATTATTCAGAATCTCCCAACCAGAAAACACAAAACCCCTTATTTCCCATCTTAAACTGTACACTGAAGGTCAGGCCGTGGCCACTGCAAATTGCTTTCGCAGAGATGTGCAAGCCAGGACAGAAAGAATAACCCGAGCACTACCTCTCGCATAATTAACTGAAAATGTCTACACTGATTAACAATTATGGTCTCAATGATGCAGCATATTTAATATCTAACTGCTAAACTGTGAAACATCCCTACCAATGGCATTCAGAGATAGCAGATTTCCCTCTTACATAGCATTAACGTGATCCAAAGAAGTGTTAGCATTTTTACTTCACAGGAAGATCTTGAACTTTAACTTCAAAAGATTTCCTTCTGACATGCACCCATTAATAAATTCTTTCCTTAAAACAATAAGTTAAAGGTATAAGTGCCAGATCTGCACAACTACAAACATTTTAAAGAGTTAAAAATCACACATACCCTGCGCTAATTTGCATTTTATTTGCATATAAATAGGTGGGTAAAAGTGAATGAAATTTAATGATGCCTACAGAACTTTTTTTTTTTTTTTTGGAAAAGAGGAAAAACATGCTACTCAAATCCCCTCTGCCCCACTATTCACTCAAAAGTGCACATGGAATTTCCCTGTTTTTATTTCTTGTTCCAAACTGAAACAGAATAAACAATGCCAAGCAACATCAGTCCTGGAGTTTAGCAATCAGATACCTGAAAACACACACTTACAGGAGGTATGCGGTCCCAGATTGCAACTTCGCTCCTTCCCAGAAGCAGTCCAAAGGTGTAATAATTAGACAAGGGTAAAGATATTCTATTATCTGCAAAAGTGAAAAAGAGGAGGCTGTGCATTAGGCTCCAAACACTCAAAAGATTTCCTTCTGACATGCACCCATTAATAAATTCTTTCCTTAAAACAATAAGTTAAAGGTATAAGTGCCAGATCTGCACAACTACAAACATTTTAAAGAGTTAAAAATCACACATACCCTGCGCTAATTTGCATTTTATTTGCATATAAATAGGTGGGTAAAAGTGAATGAAATTTAATGATGCCTACAGAACTTTTTTTTTTTTTTTTGGAAAAGAGGAAAAACATGCTACTCAAATCCCCTCTGCCCCACTATTCACTCAAAAGTGCACATGGAATTTCCCTGTTTTTATTTCTTGTTCCAAACTGAAACAGAATAAACAATGCCAAGCAACATCAGTCCTGGAGTTTAGCAATCAGATACCTGAAAACACACACTTACAGGAGGTATGCGGTCCCAGATTGCAACTTCGCTCCTTCCCAGAAGCAGTCCAAAGGTGTAATAATTAGACAAGGGTAAAGATATTCTATTATCTGCAAAAGTGAAAAAGAGGAGGCTGTGCATTAGGCTCCAAACACATGCCACCGGGGCATTTGAGGGACATTTCGGGGACATTTTTGCAAACAAGAAAAAAAAATACCTGATCCATATAACCTGTTTCTGTGATAAGTTCTCCTGATTTGTAACACAAATGTTCCAATTTCCATTGCCTATTAAAATAAAAAGCAGAGACAAAAATTTCTCATCCAAGTTAAGGAAATTAGTACAAAATCAGAAGGACAGAACATATGAATAGAACCCTGATTTTGATCACTTTTAAAAGCATCTGTCAAAACGAGTGGTGCTTTTGCCAAGCAGAGACCCAGCAAGCTGGCTTTCATGAATAGATAATACTCCATTGTAATTAACATGTGGGGTGTTTATGTAAATGAATGCTACCAAAGTACTTGAAAAGTCTTGTTTTCTTAAGTGTTCTCCCAATAATCTTGTTTACACCATTAATCTGCTTTTCTACATACATTAAACAACTTCAGGGCAGTCCAGCTGAATTATCACAAATTCAAAATAAGCAGGGACTAAATTAGGTTTATAATGTATTGACCTATATTCTGGTAGGGAAATAATATGACCTTTCTTACTGGCAAGTAAATGTACTTATTAATAGGTGATTTTCAAAACGAACGTTCTTGCTCTTACCCATGAATGTTACAAACAACCCTTATAATCTCTTCTATTCTTGTCTCATGGAAAGGGTATCAGAGTCTACAGAGCAGGAATTCATTCAGAGTTTTACTATCTGGAGAAGAATGCTATAGTAAGCCCATGCTTCCCCAAGTGTGTATTAAGGAGATTAAGTCTGACTCAGGAAGAAAGAAAAGAGAAAAAGAAAAAAGAGGCAATATGGAAAGAATGGGGAAGGGAAATCCAAGAGAAGAAAAATATGAAAACATAAAAACTTCCCCCGAGCTACTTTATTTCATTGGGCTCCTATGGGAGGCCTGTTTTCACCAAAAGTTTTCTGGACTTTGCCCTGTCTCTGTATCTCTTCCCACAACCTTCTCATCTGTCTCTCAGCATCCTGTTGAAATGCCACCCTCTCACTAAGCTTTCTCTGACCAGTGCTGTTGAAAGTGACCTCCTTCTCTAGACTCTGGGGAACTGGTCGGTCAGATCTCCTTGGACACCTGCCATGGTGACATCCTATGCATACTGATGGTTCTCCTCTCTCTGAGAATGGGGCCTAAGTTACCCATCCATCCTCCTTTCCACAGATCTGCCTACAGGCTCGCCCATCCACGTATTTTAATTCCACATAACATCACTATTTATGCATTGGCCAGCATAGGTAGGTTCTCAGTTACTATCACTCCGTTAACTAGCTCGGAATACTTGCTTGAGAAGGGCACTGACTGCACGTTACCTGGCTCCATCCTTACTTACAGCAGGAACTTGCACAACTCAACTCATCAGCCCAATTCCCACCTTTCTCTCCTGAAAAGAATGGGAAGGGTTGAATGACACGTTCTTTCAAGTTCATTCTGATGCCTACATTTCTTCTGAATCTCCCTCAGTTTAAAAAGAGTGTGAAATCCTTGTATGTCCTCAAAGTAGGGACCCCCCGTATGTTAAGCAGGTCAGGCGTGCTTATGGCGGTCCTAGGACACCCACTTTCAGACTTCTCATAAGGCTTTCACTTACGAATCTTCCTCAGTACTCTTTACAGACCAGGAATGCAAGAAAAATGCTGGGAGGTTGAAGAAGGTAATTAAAACATCTTATCTTTCTTAAAGAATTATTTATTTAATTTTATGTATTCATTTACATATTTTCATTTGACCAGAGAGAGACAGAGACAAGGGGAGAGCGAGAAAGTAAGTCACCAGGTCTGGGACTTGCACCATGGTTGGCCATGTTAAGGGCGTGTCCAGCGCCTTAACCACCATGCCACCTCCTGGTCCCCAAAACATCTTATATTTTTAAACCCCTTTTATATGCATCTGATCTTGCTCTGGGAACCTCCTAAGAGACAAGAACACACATGATCACAAAAGCTCATCTGCAGACCAGGACACAGAGCAAGCCAAAGCTACGGTCTTGGGTTTGGAGGGGTCCTCAGCCAACTCAGGTTAAGTCCACATGGAGTAGAGGTTCATGCAAGGACCAGTACAGATCTTTCTCTTATTTTTTTTGGAGAGGTTTTTGCTATAGGGCACAAGCGCTCGCTCGCCAGACAGACAGAGAGAGACATAGAGACAGAAAGCAAGAAATCACCCCCCAGGGGGGATGGTCACGCCGCAATCCCTTTTCCTCCATTCTCCTCTCGGGATCTTGGGCACGCATGCACACGCGCCCGGCGTGAGTTCTAAGCCACTGGGTCCAGGACGCGAACTGCGGTCGACTACGTGGGAGTCCAGCGACATAGCCATTACACTAACTGCTGGTTTCCATAGATCTTAATTTTATTCTCTTCTCTGATTCTCCCTGGCTATTGAAAATGTCCACACTCTCTCATTGCCTCACCTCAATAGAGAAAAATATATTGGCTTCTCAGCCTTGCTAGGGGAGAGGGTGGGGCTAAGTGAAGCAACTCAGTGGAGGCCAGGAGATGGGGTTCCGTGATGGCAACCTCCAACAGACATTTAGTCAGTCAATTGTCCTAAATGACAGGGGAACCATGGGAGATGTGGCCCCTGCCCTAAAATTACTGTTTAGATACTAAGCAAAGGAGGGCAGGTGGCATAGTGGTTAAGGCCCTGGACTCCCACATGGCTGACCATGGTTCAAGTCCTGGACTTGGTGGCTTGCTTTTTCTCTCTCTCTCTCTCTCTGTTGCTCTGTGGTCCAATGGAAAAATGAATAATGATGATGAATAAAATTATATTTTAAAAAATAAAAAAGAAAGAAAAAGGACCATGAGTTTTGATTTGGATGTCTTCCTAGTCATTTCCTCTACCCACAGAGGTGCTCACTGGACTGCCACATGGCTGACCATAGTTTGACTCCCAGACACGCAGCTTGGAAATCATGCCAGAAATGTGTGCATGCATGCCCAAAATCCTGACAGGAGAACAGAGAAGGGACTACAGTGTGGCCATCCCCTTGGGAGTGATTTCTCTCTCTCTCTCTCTCTCTCTCTCTCAAGTGCCCTATGGCAAAAACCTAAAAAAACAAAAGTGTGTGAATGCACTTTAGGCAGCCTTCAGGAAGAACTCCCACAGTGGCTCAACCCCTACAGTATTTAAGACAAAAACAATGATTCTGAATACAAAGAAAGAAAGAACTCCCTTTTTTAATCTCTTTTTTTGCATTGTCTATAGCTGACTAAAGGCCATTCAAAATGTAACTGCTGGAATCAGCAGATAGTGTAAAGGTTATACGACTACCATGTAGTAGACCGCAGTTCAAGTCCTGGACCCAGGGGCTTAAAATGCTAATGATCACGTGTGTGTATGTGTGCCTAAGAACCTAAGAGGAGAAGACTGCAGTGTGGCCATCCTTCCTGGGAGTTGATTTCTCACTTTCTGTTTGTCTCTCTAGTGAGTGCACATGCCCTATAGCAAAAACAAACAAAAAAACTGTACAAAGAAACAATAAATACAAAATGTTACTGCTCCAAAAATATCTTAAGCAGTAAACATAACTAACAATGTTAACAAACGATTCTATTTGGGTCTTGCCACCCCGATCCAGCCCCCACCCCCACCTCAGCCAGCTGAAGATTCTGGGCATACATAGACCCTGTGAACTCAGGGAAGTCTGTGGATGTGAACTGGGGAATAAAAACACAGCAAGCGATGAAACATCACATGGCTTGGATGTGGAGCCACCCACATGGATCAGGATCACACTCATTTGGGGACAGTGCCAAGATCCTTATTGAAAATACATTATAGAGTAAGCTACTAGTTTTGTTACCAAACTCGAGAAACAAATCAAGATGAGAATGCATGATCTCATTCAAAAGCTATGTGAGGCCCAGCTGGGATGGTGCAGAGGCAGAGAGACTGCTTAGGAGGCTGGAAGCTACATGGGAGGCCTGGGTTTGGTTCCTGAGCACACCTGTAATCTTAGTTAACTGGGAGGCTACAGTAGGAGAATTCAGACATACTGAGACCCTGTCAAAACTACCTCTGTCTCCCTTCACACCCACCCCTGGATAAAGGGAGGGGGCGGAAAGCCCAAACAAGTATTTGAACTAATACCTCCAGATGCGTTTCCAAGACAACCTTGTGAGGGCTCTTCAGAAAGTCCACGGAAAGAATGCATTATGAAAAACTGGGCATGGGTTTCAAAATCTTCTTTGCACCAAAATAAACCTGTACTTTTATTCTATTTTTCCATGAAATTTGTGAAGGGCCTCTGTATTTACTGGAAGAAAGGCGCCTGGTGGGTCAGACAGATGTGTAGTGGTGAAGCACAGTGATGCTATGATGCCAACCCACCTGGAAAGGTTGTGGGTTCCTATTCAGAGACCTCCCTGAGTACACTGGGCACTCGTGTGTACCCATGCTCTGGGGCTGGCTGAGGCTGAGGGAAGATCAGGGTGGCAGGACCCTGCTGGGGCTGTCTCTCTGGCTCGGACATCCTCTTCCTACACCTGACCTGCTGCACACAGGCACGTGGGCGTGGCTGGCTTACCTGTTGTACATGTATACATGCACGCGGCTGGCCTGGAGCGCCGAGTCCAAATGTTGGAGGAGGGCTTCAGTGGTCAGGACATTAGCGTCTTCTTCTTTCGGAGTCTGTATCATGAGTTGAGGATTAAACATAGCCTCCTCTCCAATCTTCTGGCGAGTATAATTTAACTCACGACTTACTCGTCCACCAACTGACAAACATGTACAGGTTTCAATTAGAACAGCAAAATCACTGCCTACCTCCGTTCTAACTGCGAGTAGGCCAAGGGGAACACAGTGAAGGGACTGTGGTCATGAAACTGAAGTTTCAAGGGTGACTTTCCCTCGTTCTTAACGGCAATGCGAACTTCAACAATGAATGTATAACAAACACCAGCTAAGCTGGTTCACGCTGTCCTGCAGGTCATGTGTGCCCACCAAATAGATGGGTGCTCTGTGCACTTTCTAGCCAACATGCCAAGTGTATGAATGGGGGAGGGAAAGGAAAACTTGAGACACCTTTTCCTTGCAGACCAGACCAAATAACCCAGTTACAATTTCTTTCACTTGTATAAACAATGTGCCCCTTACAGCACATTTCAAGATAAATGGCTTCAATTTACACTCTTCTCCTAAGTCATCTGGCAAAGGTAACAAGGAAATGTTTCTCCTCCCTGCGAAAAGAAACAAGGAAAGGTGGCAAGTGTGTGTTCAACACAAAGCTTGCCAGAAGATAAATACTATGATTCAAGTCAGATGCACGGGGGAAACCCCAGTGGGGAGAATAAAACCGTTATCAACTAGGGCTATCACCCGCAGTGCCTAGAACCTGGTTCCTTCAACTCCCCTGGTCAGCTTCCAGAAAACACAGGTGCCAGGTCCTGAGTCACCTGGGGGCGGGCAGCCTGTGTCCTGGAAACTCCCCAGGTGCTCCTGAAGCTGCTGCGGAGGCTGAGCAGTGCTGGACCAAGCACCAAACCAGCTGTCCAGCAGGACGGCCAAAGCCGGGCAAGCTGGAAGCCAGGACATGGTTACAAACTGTGTTTTTGCTCTTCCTCAGGCTCAACAGTTAGATGCAATTATGGTTTTAGAGCAAGCCAAGGTCAGAAAGCTGCACCTGAGCTGGGTGGTATCTCTCCGGACTGCAGTGACAGAAAGAGCCCTACCTACATCCAGCCCTCAGCTCCCAACTCCAGGGCAAAGGAGGGGTTCCTAAAATTACTGATAAGCTGAATTTTACAGAAAAGCAGGCTCCAGCTATAGTTTAGAAAGAACTCGGTGATCGCAGCTTTCCCACGAGGAGGAATCCTTTTTCTTCCAGTTTAGTATTCAAGGACATAAACATTTGGTTTGGGCAAGTAAATAAGGACTGAGAACAGCGGGTTGTTTAGTTCTCTTGGCATATTTTATAAACAAGGGGGCATGCTAAAAAGCAAATAATGCCCTCATTAGGAAAACTAGTGCAGATTCACAGACTGGCAGGACCTTCTGTGCAGGTTCACGCAGACGCCAAGGCCACCGGGGAGCTCTGTGAGGTGTGCCCTAACGCTGTGTGTGGGTAAGGGAGGCAGGGAGGCCTGCAACAGTTAGTTAATAAGGACGCCTGTGTGCAGAACACTTTCACAAATGCCACCGGGAATTGTGGAGGGCCAAATGCCACTGGGAACTGCAGAGCGCCTTGCAATCAATTTGAAGTGAAAGAAAGACCACAGGAAAACACCGGGGAAGTACTTGCAACAGAGGAAGCATTTACATAATGCATTTACTTTTCTGGAGGCTGAACTAAAGCTGCCTGCAGGCAAGGTCTTGTCTGAAATAAGGACTTCAGCCAATTAACTCGGGTCTGAATTTAGGCCTGAATTTAGTTCTATCGGTGTCCTCCAGAGATGGAGAAGCTGTTGGAGGCCAAAAAGCCAGTTTTATGAGTCTAGAGGTCACTTCCAAAAAGTGACGAACTGCACATCAAGGAGCACAATCCCTCCTTCTTTATGATCTCACATCCAAAGTGCCAAACCTAGAAATCATTTTTGCAAGGGGACTTTATAAGTTCATGGAAAAGTAGAATTAAAGTATGAGTTTTTTCCTTTTTCTTTGCTTTTTCCTAAGATTTTTGCCATAGGGTGAGTGCTCCCAGAGACAGCGAGAGAAAGTGAGAAATCACTCTCCCTAGGGGGATGTCCCTGCCACAATCTCTTCTCCATTCTCCTCCTGGAATTTTTGGCACACAGACACACACACACAACCCCCGTGGTGGTATCTGAAAGCCACTGGGTCTGGGAATCAAACCATGGTCAGCCAGTGCTTTAACCACCATGACACCTGCTGGCTCAAAATGCGAGAAGAAAAAAAAATTTTTGAAATCCAAACAGTTTTTTCATAGTATGCATTCTCAGGGGCAGCTGGTGGCATGGTGGTGTTAAAGCAGCTGGATCACACATGCTGACTTCCTGGTTTGAGTCCTGGGCCCTGTGGCTTGAAAAGCATGCTGAGGGGCCAGCAGATGGCGTAATGGTTATTTCGCTGGACTCTCACGTAGTTATGCCGATTCAAGTCCCAGACCCGTGGCTTAAAACTCAATGCCAGACGTGTTGTGTGCCCAAAATCTCATGAGAAGAATGGAGAAGGGACTGTGGTGTGTGCCAGGGGGGTGGGGGGGGGCAATTTATCAGTGCCTGTCTCTATCTCGGGTGAGCACACACACCCTATAGTGCAAAAATATCTCTAAAAAGAAAAGAAAAGCACACTGCGCATGTGTATGCGTGCCCAAAATCCCACGAGGAGAACGGAACTGCTGCATGGCTATCCCCATTGGGAGGTGCTTTCTCACGTTCCCTCTTATAAACTGTCTCATTCTTTCTCACGCCAGCAAGCACATGTACCCGCTGGCAATTTTTATTTTTTTTTTAACAGCATTCTCCATGAATCCTTTCTACCTGCCTCCTGAAACACTGGCATGGCATACAATTTTTTCCTTCTGCTTTCAAAGTTGCAAATCCTTTTGCATTTATTGATGCCTCAAAGTCTGGGTTGGCCCTTCAGCCTGGCGGTTAAGGGAGCTGGGTTCCGTCAACTGCATGGTTTGAAACACTCGTGTGCGCCTGTCCAAGGTCTGATGGGAGGGAGAGATGGAAGACAAGGGACTGCGTATGACCAGGCCCCATCAAGTGCACGTGTCCAAAAAGTCAGGTGACTTAGAACAGAAGATAAACACTAACAAGAAAGCACGCACCTCCTCCACTTTTGCTGGAACTGCCCAAGCATAGATAGCCTTTGCTCTGCAGGACTCCACCCCCAGCCCCGCCCAGACACTCACAAAGCAACAGAGACCACACAAGAGATGGTGCACACAAAATTCCAAACTCTTTCAGACCAAGCTCATAATGGATTATTTTATCACTGGCATTTTCAATACAAGATACAAAAGTACTCCAGGAGTAGGAACAGCCGGTGGCATGGTGGCTAAGGCACTGGACTCCCACTTAGACAACCGCAGTTTGAGTCCCAGGCCAGGAGGCTTGCTTTCTCCCTCTCCCTCTTTCTCTTTGCTGAGTGGATGTTCCTTATAGCAAATTAAAAATAACAACAGTAATAATAAAATTAAATAAGTTTTTAAAAAAGTACTTCAAATCTCCATATTGCCATTCAGTACATTTAAATAAATACATGTATTTTAATAACTATATTTATCATGTCTTTGGAATTGGATCTTTTTGTTCTTTCCATCTCTGCTCTAGTCATAAATGCAAATATTCCACCGATGGAACAACCAATTTCGACCAAGACTATATGGTTCACAGTTGACCAAGTGACTAGAATTTCCTCAGCCTCCTATGCTAGTACCCTGCCCATGAGCACTCTTAGATCCATTTTGTTCTTACATATTATATGGGTCATATTTTACCTAACATCTCATCTTCTACTAGCCAAGTATGGATATCTTTGCAGAAGGATTCAATAACTTCAATTACGTTTAGCTGCCATCCATTCTGCAATGGGCCAGTGAGCCAGTAAGGTAATTTTATGACCTGGAAGGCCGGGGGTTGGGGGAACACTGTTCCGCACAGAGGGGTCGTTAAGTGCAAAGGCCCAAGGTTTGTCTTGCTGCAGGGAGAGGAAGGAGGCAAGTGTGGCTGGTGCTGGGTTGAGACCATAATGAACGTGTGCTTCGCCTGCTTGCACTGGTGGGCTCAGCTCCTCCAGTATACCTGTGTCATCAAGGTGCACAGCACTCACGTGCCCCTACATCGGTCTTCACCCACCAGTTCTAGAATAAGCTGCCAGAAACAGTCCTCCAGACAGAGCAATTTTATGGATGAGCCTGACTTTGGCTGCCCGAGCCAATGCCTATCCTAAATCACCACTGAATGACAGCCCAAAGCTGTCTTCCTTATCAGCCGGGGGTGTGAAGCTTTGCTCTCGGGAAGTCCCACAGAACTCATTTTAGATGATTAAAATTACAGTCATGGTCTGGGAGAACATGACTTTCTCCCTTTTCCACAAGGTCAAAGTCCTTCTTACATATTTTAAAAATAACCCCATGTTCATGACATACTGCAGAGAAAAATAACTACTGAACAGAATGAACCAAAAAAAAAAAAAAATCCAGTATTGCTATGTAGAAAGAAAACCAGGCTATCGCTCTGATTGCTGTGTATTGGTGTATGAATAGTATTTATTTGCTTCCATTATTGTGTGTTTATTTCTTAATTTTTCTGCAATGAACATGTATAATTCAAGACATCTATGTAACAAAAAGTGGAAGCTACTGAGCAGGGATTTGAATTCAAATCAAACTTACTGCAAAAATATTATGCATTTCCATCATATCCTGAAATCTTCTGTGGTCTTCTCCCTCTTTGTCCCCCAAACAAAAGACCTTTAACAAAGTCAGATCTACCACTTTGAAAAAAGTGGTAGGAAAGCAGGATCCTCAGAAACAAGGAAATCTTTTTTATACTTGTGTGGTGCTTCCCAACTGCAAAGTCCTTTAATACTTTATTTACTTATTTAGAATACTTTGATCATCACTGAGGGTTGGGGACAGCTGTACTGGACAAGAGATGAGAAGGGGGCCCAGAGGACCCAGGCATCTAGCACTGCCACTTACGGCAGGGACATTTGTAACAAATCCCTAAAACAGTTGAGCTTTAGTAACCCTCCCTGTAAAATGAAGATAAAAATGCTATTGAATGAATAAATAAAACTAAATAAT